ACTTCTTAAAGCTTTCTTTTTTTTTTAATTTGTCTGTCTGTCTTTGGAAAGACTGCACATTTTAAGTCTGGGACCTAGTGCATGGCTGTGGTCCTAGAAGTGCTTACCTAGTGGCAGTTGTGTGCTAGCCCCCCTGGGACAGTTTGGGTTGTCTGCCCTCCATGGGAAGGATTAAGCTCTTAACTTTTATACAGTTGTGCCATTTGTGACTTTGCTCAGCACATATGTTGAAAAGCTGAAATGAAATGCCAGGTCCCCCGGAATCTAGTCTCCTCAAGTGACTTGTTGCGTCAGATTAGTGGTGGCACGTGGGCTAGAAGAGACCTGCTGGCTGTTTTGCCACTTTTATAGATTTGTTTTTTCCTTCTTCCCTGCACTACCTCTTAATATTGGTGTCTGTGTTTTTCCTGAACACAGTAATGCAGCCTGCAGGCAGGGAGTGGGGAGGAAGCATTGTGTTCTCAGATTTGAGGACAGTGATTGGCTTGAAACTAGAATAGGTGCACTGCTGCTTGTTAAAGGGACTTGGACTAATACTACAGTTTAACTAAAGATGGGGAAGGTTGTGTGCCTTTCACCATGCTTAGGTTATTACTCCTTCACTGAATCCTCTGGGGCCAACTAATACATTGCCACCTATATTTTTGTTGTTGTTGTTCCTGCTGCTGTTTCTGTTTGTACACTTTTCGCTTTCCCCAGCATCTTTGTTTTGGAGTTGATTCAGGAATGTAGACTTTCCACTCAATGGAGTTAACACCCCCCACATCCAGTTAATCTTGAGGAGGGAGACTGTAAACAGCGCTGCTACCTTGTAATAGGCAACAGATTAGCTGACTTCCCGGTCCTAGAACAGTGAGTAGGGAAGTTGCAGCATGCTTTGTCACAAGCCACTTCTAAGTTTCTTCTTTTCCCCCCTCTTAAGTGTTGAGTTTAAGTTTGACCATACATGGCACAGTGTTTACTTACATAGTAAAAGCATGTGCTCTGACTTCAGCAAGGATTTCCTGCCTAATCTCTGAAAGTGTTTGGTTGTTAGTCCTCCCTCTAAACTAGAGCACACAATATGCAGAAGTAAGGGATAGCTCTTTAATAGAGAGATATGAGCTTAGTTCCTGGCTCTGCCACAGGCACTAAGGGTGCAGACAGAAGTAGGGTTACCATACATCTGGGTTTTCCCAGACACGTCTTCTTTTTGGACCTTCCAATCTCCGTCCATATGGTCTGCTTGTTTTTTGTTTTTTTTAAACCTGAACCAGTGTCTGGGATTTTGCTCTGCTCTGGTGGGAGCTGGGGGAGGGTGATTGGAGGCAGCAGGTGCACATGCAACTGCATGCGCATATACACATGTCTGACATGCAGCCAGGCAGGGAAGTGGGAGCAGCCCCAGCAGACTTACATGCATCTAGCTGTTGGGAGGGGGAAGGTTGGAGGGTTGGGGCTGGGGGACTGTCCAGAGGTCTGGGAGGGGTACCAGGGGTGTGTGGAGGGGATGGATGTATGAGGGGAGTAGGTGCCTGCCAACTGTGGGGGAAGCTGTCCATGTGGCAGGGCAGGGGGGGGGGGGGGAGGGCCCCGCCCCTCCCGAAGCTGTCCATGTGGCAGGGGAGGGGGGGGGGGGTCGGCCCCCTGCCCCTCCAGCATGGGAAGAGGGCAGGGCAGCCCTTTAGGGGTGGCGGGGAGCTCTGTGGCCAGGCCGACGGCACTGGGATTGATGCCTGTGCTCATGGGGCTAGACTGGCTGGGAAACGCTGTCCAGAGGGGTGTATGGCCAAGCTGCCTGGCACTGAAGGTTGGGGCGGGGGGGAGCTGCAATACACCTGCCTTGCTCTCCAAGGGAGCTGAAAACCCCCCCAGACTGAACTCCCTCCGCTCCCATTTCCCCTTCCCATTCTGAAAACAGGAGAAGCTGGCAGCTCTGCAGACACAAGTTACAAAAGACACTACATTTTGTAACATCTTTATCTGATACCTTATGCAATGAGTGGTCAAATTTTTGACTCAGTTGGACATTTTTAAAGCTGTTTGCAGCTGCGCGCACTTGTTTCATCCCAGCTATGAACTGCTTTTGTGGGCAGATCAGGTGAAAATTGTCACTGCTGTCTGCACCCTATGTGTGGCTTTGGCCATGTGGCCTCACTTTCAACATGATAGAGATAATTTGAGGGCTGCATCAATAGAGGCCAAAAGCACCTGCTATCTGTGGTGAACAGAAGTGATGTTGGGAGGAATAAAACCAGAAGCGTCATTGTGGTTTGTTAATTCCTCCACTCCTGTTTCCATTTGCTCCTCTTCTAGGGGTGTTGCTGTCTGTTTATGGCATGTTAATTAGCATGCTTTGCATAGACCTCTGGCTTCTCTTAGTAAACCCAATCACTGCAATTTGCCAGCTGGCAAATCTGCTTCTCTCCTTTAATGGGTGTAATTCCTGTGCTATGTTTTCAGAGGATTTACTGTAATAAAACAATTTGCTTGGATTAGCTTTTTATCTCTTTAATAAATAGTTATGTCTAAGTGGGGTTTGCTGTACTAACTTAGTTAGAAGTCCTGGATTTACAGCTTGCAGTCTTGGTCGGGTGTTAAGTGCACCGGCATAAAGGTGTTGTCTATTTCTGAAGGGTCTATAATAGCTCATGAGGTCCAACCTGTAATTTAACCAAAAATGTCATCTTCAGCTAAGATCTAATAACCTGTGGTCTCTGACTATGCTCAGGAAGTGTGTTTTGCTGTGGTTGGAGCAGGATACTTGGATTTGGGAATGCTTTACAACTGTATATCAGTTTACTTTCACGATCTGTTAACTTGCAAAGTGTTCAGACCTGTACATGGAAGGTGCTGTAGGGAAGGGCACATTAGATGGACAGCACAGCTTTGCTGTTACTTCAAGCCAAACCAGGCCAGAAATGAAGTTTCCACTCCTTATTTTAGCTTAACCCCTAAGACACACCTGGTTCAAGCTTTTAGACCAAACAGGACCTTAATGCTGTAATGCAAGGTGGGTTTTACTACCGTCAAACTTGAGTCTCAACTGACTCCACTGTATAACAGCTTGTGGCAAGTGAAGTCCTGATACAGTGTTTCTCACAGTAGGTATTCCCTGAGGCCCTGACTTTTTATAAAAAAAAACAAAAAAAAAACAAAAAAACAGACATACAGGTTTCATTACACTGTAGTCCCATATTTGCTTTTAGGAAAGTTTCTAAAATGAGCGCAAGCTTACCCACACCAGGATATAATTTATACAACCATTGTAGAAGTGAAGCTGTATTCCTGGTCTGTGAAACAAAGTGGTCTGACTGCATATCTAAGGCAGAAAGCATTAATATACTTCAGAGATGCTTGCTTTGTGAACCGGCTATCAAGATAATTAGCGTTACTAGGAGAGCATGGAGAGGTTAGAAAACTCGTGTCTCCTGTGTCCATGAGGACTGACTTGAGCAAAATGGGGTGATTCAGTTGACTTTTTCCTATGCATCTTCAGAATCCATTTTATAGACCTGCCTTATCCAAAGAGACTAACCCAGTCTAGTCTCTGTCACTCCTCCTCCCCCCCTCCTTCCAATTCATAGTTTTTCATGTGCTTGAAGGAATGAGGCCTTAATGACTTGGGTATGTTTGCAAGTGGGTGTTCTGTTTTGACAAAAACTTAGGTAATACTTAATGATTTCTGTGAGACTGACTTAACAGCATTCTTATTTCCTATAGCTGCAGCACTTTTCATGTAATGTTCTGTGTTAAACGCACTTCTCAGCAGCCCCGTGACATAAATTGTGTTCAAAATGTTTAACGTGCTACCTTTGTCAGATTAAATGTCGTCAGTCAGGGGAGAGCTGCAGTAGCAGAAACTTTTGCGTGGATGAAGAGATGAGGACTTGTGTCATGTTAGAAAATGAGCTTTCCATGAACCTCTGTAGAAACGTCTCATTAAATAGTCACTGCAAAAGTATAATCCTCTCTTCCTAGGCAGCTTAAAGAATATTGTATATTAGTCTCTTAACATCTAGATAAACTAGGCTTCAGTCAAGCCCACAATTCAGGAGCTGTTCCTGGCTTAGAAATGGATTGCTGACTTGTTTTTCTTCCCCTTGCAGCTTTTCCTTTCTGCTTTTTCCAAAAGTAGGCAATTGGGTAGTTCTAACATACATTTGCTAGTTTTGTTTCTGGTTCTGTAAACTTGGATGGTTATTGCTGACGCCACCCCACTTCTGGAGGACTCACTTTGCACCAGTCTCTGATTTATAACTGACTCGGTAAACTGGATGTCAGGCTCAGACATAAAGTTGAAAATGAGAAGTACATTGCAGCAGAATGAAATGAAAGCCCTGATTCTGCATTTCTTGTTCAAGCTACTGTCCATGGTGAAGAAACATGGCCAATTTGGCATGCAGTTGACTGCACTGATATATATTTTGCTTCTGAAAACATTACTACCATGGCTCCACAGCTGTGCTGGGAGTATATTATAATAGCTTTGATGTCACTGTGAAAGTATGGAGATATAACGTTTTATAGTGCAGCAAGCCCTGGCAGGCCAAGCAGTCTGCATTCCTTTGCCCAGTAATTTGGGCAGAAATGCTGACACTTGTATTCTGTGCCAGTGTAAGGGATTTCTGCAGCTTTGAAAGGGAGCAGGTAGCAGCTTGGGCTGTAGCATCCCCTGGTGGCATGCTCCCAGAGCGCCTGCAACATTGGCATGTACTACAGCTCAAGTGCGTTCAGTCTGAATCTGTGCTGCTTGGTTGGATGGCCTAAGACACTGGGGAGAAAAGGTGGAGATGAAGAAGCTCTGCCTCTTGCCCTATGCTAATATTGTTCTGCAAACTGGAGGGTGATGGCTATTTGTATCCTCTGCCAGCACAACTGTTGGGGAATAGAATCCTTCAGCTCTTTAAACAGGGAAGCACATGCTGGATTATAGGGTCCTTCCCATTCTTGAGCTTGAACAATGTGCCTGTTGCTTTCCAGGTGACTGACACGCTCATTCCTCCTGTTTTCTCTTCCAGACCAGAATGCAGAGCCTGCAGCCGGATCCCAAAGCCCAGTACAAGAGCGTGTATGGAGCCCTGAAGAGGATGGTACTCACCGAGGGCTTCTGGAGGCCTTTACGCGGAATTAATGTCACCATGCTGGGAGCTGGCCCTGCCCATGCCATGTATTTTGCCTGCTATGAAAAAATGAAAAGGACTTTAAGTGACATTATTCAGCAAGGAGGAAACAGCCACCTGGCCAACGGTATCACACAAGTTTGCAACTAACAGCCCATCCCTTACCTGCTTCACATTCTTCATCCTTCTCTCTGCTCCTGAAAAAGAACCCTAGGGTAAACCAGCACAGGCCTCCTTGAGTGCCTTTAACCTGGTGCCTGTCCCTGACAAGTACCTGAAGTAGAAATTCTTGTGTTGGGCACAAGGTGTTGTTTGCACCAGGTGGCTTTTGACCATGTTCATTTGAGTATACAGGCAGAACCCTCTTCTCTGGGCAGTTTTTTAGACTGGTATAAAAGTGTGTATATCACAACATTAATTGCTGGTTTCCCCCATGACTTGTACATGGTATAATCATGCTCACACTAAGGCTTTAATTGTCTTGAGGACTGGTTTAAATGAACACATTTTGATTGGGATAGTTTTGCCAATAAAACTTAAATGTTGCAGGTAAGGAGAAATAATTAGAGACGCCATTCAGGCAATGGAGAGATGCAGGGATGGGGAGTGTGGAAATCTGTCTTAAGGAAGAGGGCTGTCACTGAAGAGATGCTCACTTTAGTGTTTAAGGATGAGCGAAAGATACTAACTATGATAGAGAAATACTTTATTTACTTTGAAAAATTGATGCTAAGCTTGAGCCAACCCTGATTTATAGGTGCATTCAACCAATTTTATCAGTTTGGATCTGATATTTTATGCTGATTTAGTTAAACTGATGTAACCATTAGTATGGATGAAGTTTAAAAATGTTTTGGGAGATGAGGAGGGATGCAGTACCCAGGCTGACCAAACTCTGAGATCCAATAATAGACACACTAAGTTGCAGAAGATTGCTCCAAGCATATTTTATGGATGGATTCAGAGGATTTTATCAAACTTTTCCAGTCTCTTTTTCTTTTTTAAATCTCGAGAGAGCATAGGTTGTTGCTGAACTTTGTTACTTGTTTTAAAATTGTGGTTTAACTTTGTTCTAAGGTAGGCTCTGTCCCCTGTCAAGGACAGAATTGTGAAGGACACTTTTTTTTTTTTTCTTGTTTCCCAGGCATAGCTGGGAGCATGGCCACATTACTCCATGATGCAGTAATGAATCCAGCTGAAGGTAATGTCCTTGTGGAAGTTGGGGAAGGGAATAAGGGTAGAAAGCATGTTCATATAGAGCACATTAGTTGAAATGTATAAACTAGACTCCTTATTGTCTACCACAGTAAGTTTACATGGAAAAGTTGAGATGACTTGACTCAATTTCAGGTGACCTGCTTGACCACGTGGATTGCAAGCACATATTGTTCTGATGTTTATTAATGACAGCTCCTTTAAGCCAGCTGTGTTTAAAGAACAAGACATTCTCGCTGCCTTTGCTGCACTTATTTGATTAAAAGTAGGAAACCCTCTCCCTGAATCTACTGCTGTCCTCACTTATAAAATTTAAGTGGGAATCAAAGTCCAAGATGTAAAAACAAATGTGTACTAAAACACACACTAGCAAATATAAGGGAAGAAATTCAGCCTAAGAGTGACTCTTGATAGAGTGGCTGTCTACATCTGTCTGTAATCAGAACGTGCAATATGATTGTGGGGAAATTTTTTAGGGCATTATACATGGGTAGCTCTTAAAGGCTTTGTTAGTTCATTAATGCTATTTAAACAGTATTGCTCTAAAACCTAACATCTTGTTAATAGACATGAAAACCCTATTTAAACATTCATATTGTTCCTCTGGTCATCCAAAAGACCCTACACTTGAAAAGAGTTTAGGTGAAACTGTTGCCAGGTTGTTATACTTTGAAATCTTTTACTTCGACTAACGTAATTCACTGGAGCGACTATAGGGGTTTTCTTGTTGCTATTCTTTATTCTCAGAAAACATTTTGGAATTGCCTGCTATTACTTTTGAGAGACTATCCATTTTAAAGTAGATTTCTAGGTATTTCCTTCTGCCACTCGTAAAATAAGCCAAGGTGTCTTAAAACTAGCTACACCTGAAAAGTCTATCACTTCTACTGGCTAACTCTTCAGTTGACCTCTAATTGCATGTTGTGACACGGGTTTCCCTTGTTTTACGCTGTACGTGCATTCCTGGAAAACTGCACATAACTTGCATTTGCATAAAGGGAACCCACTTTACAATGTAACAGAGATGGGTTCCAAGACTTCGACTTTACTGACCCCCACAGACGCATTTCTACCACTTTTACAAGACAGCTCTGGTACTCGCCAACAGCAGACAGTACACGAAAGCACAGGGTGCTGGTGGTAATGTTTAGTTGACATGGAGAGGGTGGCGAAGGGTGTTAGTGAAGTTCCCTTGCGCTTCATTGATGAACCAGGGAGAGGGGTAGGAGATAAGCTAGCGGGACACTTAGAAGCCATAATGGCATAATGCGAGACACTTAGAAGCCATAATGGCAACTACAGAAACACGTTGCAGACAACAAGCGAGGAGTACCCATCCACATAGGAGACTGTATTTTGATGCGCATCACTCCCACAATGCATCGCACAAAGCAGATGACTGCGGGCTTCCACCACACTGATTGCTTAAGAGTGAATTTACCTTGCATATAACAAATCTTCAGTGTAAAAAGGGTCATCGCATAAGAGCGAGTTCGCACATACAGAACCTGCATAAAGCGAAGGAAACCTGTATATTCTACACAAAACTGGTAGAATCCTTAAATTGGAATTGAAGCAGGGAAAAAAAAGCATCCTGAGCCTTTCACAAACGCTGATGCTTTCCCAGGTATTCTGGGAAATAATCTAGGTCAGCTAAACCAGAACTTTTATTTTTTACTCATCCCTCCATCTGTTTCTGTTTGGATAGAGATGAGAGAGGAGTACAAAGTGATTCTTAAATGCACTTAAAAGATACAGCAGTGGAAGTGGGGGAGAATTTTATAGCATCACATTTTACTTATGAAATCTTTTTTACGAGAGAAATTCTCTGAGAATTTGGAGGATTTCAAGACTTGAAACGTGCGAGGGGAAAAAAAATCCACCACTTAAACAGTGGGATTGAAAATTATGATGTGAAGAGCAGCCACCACTTTGATGGTCTAGAACCTGGCATTAGAAGCCATACGTTTATAGGTTCTAGTCTCAGTCCTGATACTTACTTGGAATAGACCTGGATTCGGGTTACTTATGACTCAACGATGTTTGCACTGAAGTGAACAGAAGCATTGCTCTGGACTTCAAACAGCAGGGTCAGCTTTGTAAACCTTGTCCTCCCTCACTCCTTCCTAAAATGAGAACAATGTCACCTCTCTGTAAAACTATTTTGAATTGCATGAATGCTGGCAGTGAATGAAGGTTTTAGATTAGGCAAGAAATACAGCATGGTTGGGTGGGTTGGGATGTCCTGAATTACTCTAACTTGTGTCCAATTGGTTTGTCTCTTGTCCCATTGGGTACCTCTGCCTCCCATCTGGTGTTGCCCATTTGGTGTTCACACCCTCCAATGGCCTCTTGCTGAACCAGTGGTGAAGCAGCGGATGCAGATGTACAACTCTCCTTACAAATCTGTTTTGGACTGCATCAGGACAGTGCACAGGACGGAAGGGTTTGGTGCCTTTTACCGGAGTTATACCACACAGCTCACCATGAACGTGCCCTTCCAAGCTATTCATTTCATCGTGTACGAAATCACGCAGGAGAAAATCAACCCTCGTCGAGAGTATAACCCCCGCTCGCACATTCTCTCTGGTGCCATTGCTGGGGCAGTGGCTGCTGCTGCCACCACCCCCCTCGATGTTTGCAAGACATTGCTAAACACTCAGGAAAACATGGCACTGAGTTCACTAAACATCAGTGGACACCTCTCGGGAATGGTAAATGCCTTCAGGACTGTGTATCAGCTTGGTGGTATCCCAGCGTATTTCAGAGGAGTGCAGGCTCGTGTCATTTACCAGATGCCTTCTACCGCCATCGCGTGGTCAGTGTATGAATTCTTCAAGTACTTCATTACCAAGCACAAGCTGGAAAAGAGAACCCCCTACTGAAGGACTTGACGGGAGTGAACCCAAGCTTCACAAGTCTTTTATATAGAAGCTCCATGATTCTCTCCTCTTTTGAACATGCCAAATTCTGGTGGATTCACAATTGAATTTCACTTTTCTCTCTCTCTCTCTCTCTCTCTCTCTCTCTCTCAAAGGGAGGGATGAAGTGGTCACTGGAGAAACTTGGCTCCTGTGTTCCTAGAATCAAATTGTCCAGAAACTTTTTGTAATATAAATATATATTTATAACTTTATTTTTGAAAAAGTAAAATCGCTAACAAATGGGGTTTCTTTCCCTCTGAACAAAGTCGAAGATGCAAGGTTACCACCTCACCATCGAGCTTAGACTGTTTGGTGGGGGGGCCAAGAAATAGCACATTGACGTTTTTGTTGCTAAGAAAGTAAATATCCTGTCACATCAAATTTTTATATAAAACTTTAATATAGAATAGATGGAAAATGTTTATCCTTTATTTTTCTACATAAGAACTTGTGGTTTTATTAATAAGACCACAGCTTGTGGCGGAGCTGTTTTAAAAAAGGGCTGAATTCTTTCATTGTAACATGTAAGGAAAAATGCCAAAGCTTCTTAATTTTTATTTTTATTTTTTTAAAACCAGAATGGCTTTATTATTGGCAGCATTGAGCCCAAAACAGCAGCCAGTGTTTTAATTTGGGTTCTGTGATGCCTCCTATTTTTTGGTGCCTGCTTGAGACCCCTCAAGTTGGGTGGCCAAAATTACCAGCTCTTCTTGGGAAGAATCTTCATCTATTCCATGTTTTTTAGCTAGTTGTTGACATCTTAAGATTTCTACCGTAAGGATGAGTATTTTTAGAAAATGCTTAACAATTTTGCTTATAAGTACACTTATAGCATTCTAAGGCTTTATCACTAACTTATTTATTCATGGACTTATTTCCTGAGAAGGCCCTGATCCTGCTTACGTGAATAACTGTCCACACAACTAGTTCCAGCTTTATCTTTCACGTTGATAAAGTTGCTCCCACGCACATGTATGCCAGAGCAGAACATCTGTTTACAGTTTCATAAAGCAGCTTGGGTTGAGTGGTAAAAGGAGCATATTGACAACACACAAAGATGAAAGGCCTTGGAGAAAATGAAAGCCTTAACTAGGAGAACTGCAAATTGCAATCTTTTAAAATTGAAGCAAAAAGCAGTGGCTTGCTGAAGTCCAATTGAAGTGCCCTAAGAAAAATCCCAAAGCTTCAAGTGCTCTTGGGATTTTTATTTTATTTTTTTTCCTTTTGGCTTTTTGCTTGCTGCTATGAAATCCTCTGCTTTGGTCTGTGCTTCATAGAAGACTCTGTGCATTCAAAAAAGGACATTTTATCCCTTCGTCCTTTCTGTAGGCTTTTTTGCAAGCTGGATTTGTGGATGACTCATCTCCGCTCAGTCTCCATACCTCATCGTCATGTCTACTCAGTTGTTTACAAAGTGTAGCTCCTGTGCTTGAGGCTAGGAAAAACCATTTATTTTTGAGTGTTTGTTTTTCCTAGTTCAAACTGACCAATGATGCGAATAGAGTGGCTGAATTTTAAAAGCAACACTTGGTCAAAAGTTCTCTAAATTCAGTGCAATATACTGCAGAGGAGGGAAACTTTTGAGTGCCTGAGGAGCAGGTTTGCTGAACTACAGATAGTTCATTGCTGGCTAGCCATCTGGCTAGATGAGGTGGTTAGCTTCATTATAAACTATTTGAAGGATTTCTTTTTCTTTTTTTTTTTCCTTTGGTAGGCAAATACATGCAACTTAATAGTTACACTCTTCAATGGGACGTCAATTGAGAAATCCTTGTTTTATCTGGACTTTTTTTTTTTACTTGCTAACAAAAATTAACACGCAAAATGAAGGAGTGATAATGCTGCAACTTTTTAGTTTGCTTTTTTCCCCCTTTTTTTTTTTGCAGTAGGCAATTCTAGTAATTTCCTCCTTTCTCCTGTGGTTTGTGTGGATCTTTTGAATGGCAACATGAGAGTCCTGTTAAGGGAAAGA